CCCCCGTCACATAACAATCAACAAACACGTTCCACATTCATTAGCACGAGCAGTCGACATGAAACACACAACTTTTTTTTGTTTTCGGGGCCAAAATTGGTTTTGAATGGTAACAATCTTAATAAACATACCGTTAGTTTACAACTTGTAACGTTTTAAGTTGTAAGTAATTTAAATCTACGGAGCCACCATTAAAAAAGATACAAAACATAAAAAAATTGCTTAAGTGAAAATGCAATCCGAATAATCCTGATATGGTCTAAAAGCTTAGACGTTCTCTAGCGCGATAAACACAATGTAAAACCAATGAAACTTGTCAATAGTTTTGGGAAGGGTCAAACACGGACTTACTCCACTAATTAGTCCAAAAACACCAAAAATATTGTTGAACGTGAAAACATCATAAATGAGTCAAAACTTGGAATACTAGTGGGGAAATAGAAGATTGATGATGGGCTAAAGAAGCTGTGCAAGAGGGAAAACCAATCACCAGAGAAACCCAGCATCAACACATAAATGATGTATTGAATTTTTGACAAATTCTAACCGATGTTTTCATAGGTTTTTCGAATCTTTTCTATGTATTTAGAGTTTTCTAATGCAAATGAGCAAAGAATGAAAGCAAATAAACAGAAAATGGTCATTCAGAAGTTTGGTACCCAAATGAGCTTTCATCTAAAAGTAATTTAAGGCCATTTCAAAGTTATGAAAGTTTTAGTAAAAACATCTCATTATGGCGAACAAAAAAAGTAAATACAAAAAAAGACCAGATCGATCGATCCACTTTAGGATCGTTCAATTCGATTATTTTTCAAAACATCGATTGATCTAAAGAGAGAGGATCGATTGATCTAGATGTAGATCGATCGGTCCAACTGCTTTGTGCCTACTCTGTAAAAATAATTCTGATGCAAAGTAACTAAATTTACAACATACACTCTCACCAAACTCTTCATTCTACAATCGATGTGGGATTTTCCCATTTTCACTTTAATTATCTCACTTCTAAAAGACATCACGTGGATATCATTTGGTGGATCTACAAAAGAACTTTTATGAAACCCAACAAATAAAGCAAAACTACATTATTATAAACATTTATACGATATACTCAGATACATATAATTTAGAGAAATTTTTAAAAATGTCACGTTTCTCATACTACTTTACAAAAATGTCACTTTTTATAACTTTTACAAACATATCACTTATTTTGCTGTATATTCTCAGATTAACCTTAATTACAAACTTTTTTTTTTCGTTGAACCAGA